TCAACAGCAGTTGGTGTATGGCCAACTGAGTCCGGATTCAAATCCTAGGAGCTCAGGATGAATAGGTGACTGTCTGCATAAGATAACACGAACTCCCTGTGATGAGGCTTTGGGGTGGGACGTAAGACCATTAGAGAAAATAGGGAAACAATACAGTGCCTCGTAGAGCAAAAGTATACATTAATGTTACTGAATCGTTGCTGCCGCATCTACAGAAAATACACAGGACGGTTGTGGTAAACTGTTGGCTCTGTGATCGGCACTCACCTTTAGCCTCAACTGCCAGTGTCATGAGGGGGGCGGTGTAGTAACGATGTTGGAATTCCCGCAGGAGGCGATATACATCAGTCCCTGCGGCTGCTGGGTTCTCCTTCAGTGACTTTCGGTTACCTGTATGGAGATAAATATGCTGTTTTACGAGCGACAGCTGAGGATTGAAATACGGTCGTGAATAAGTAATGGATGATGTTGCATGTCCACCACCGACAACATCGGCAAGAAGTGGCTGTGACGTCCTCTCCGTTTGAGTGGTCGGTGATCGTAATCCAACCTCAAAGCCAGAGGAGCTCTAACCCCTTGACAATAATGATGTCTCCTACGAAGGACTTGGAAGGCCCAGATACCCCTCGTAACGGGCGCCGCCTAAGCTTGAGTCAGCAGAACGCAAATTGGTAGTTTGTCCCCTAAAAATGAGTTAATCTTTAAAGCGCACTTTGAAAGCCGACGGGCGGGACGGGCAGGGTAAAGCAGCAACTAACAAGCATAGACGCTCCCCCTCCCAAGTGGCACGACTTCCTAACCGGACTTATGGCCCAGGTCAGTGCAGGAATAAGCACAATCCTGAGAGCAAATGCAAAAGACCACCCCTTGTTTTGGGAAAAGGGATACTGAGACATTTTGAGACGGTGACTTTCGCAGCATCTACCGCACTCTCTCCTCCTGCTCCCTACCTGGACCCGGCGTCAAGGCAGTGTCAAAAAGACCGGAGACGCGGGAGGGCGCACACCCTCTCCTTCTCTTCTCACACCCGCTACGGTCCAACTGGCGTGGGAAAAGTAACGGGCGTCTACGAATGTCGTAGGCTTGCTGCTCCCTGCCAGTGTGTGATTAAGACTTCAGAGAGGATTTCGGGGGTTTCACTGGCAAGATCCGTCAAAACGTCAGACTAGGGAGCCAGTGGACCATGGCCATCAGTCTTAGAGAGGATCGAGTCATCCAGTCAACCGTAGACCTTCCTTGTTGCGATTTTTATTGCGTTTTTATTAACAGCGCGTCAGGTTAATTATGAGAAAAGTGGCAGTCTCTGTCCCCTCCTCTGGCATGTACCAGCAAAAGGTTTATGACAATGGGACTGGGCAGTTGATCCGGCGCGGTGGCTGGTATGAAAAACACGTCACAGACATGTGTGGTTCAGTAGCTAGAGGCGTGGACTTCTAACAAACAGGTCGCGAGTTCGAGCCTACTTGTACTTGTACTTGATACGGCTGCGATCATTCCTGATCTAGCCGGCCTCGATGATGTCCCGAATTGTACCTCTCCACGCGTGACGATCCGCGGCAGCAGATCTAGACAGCTCAACCCATTCCCTTCGCCAACGACGGAGACCGAATACCGAAGGTCCAAGAACCACCTCCATGTCCTGACGGACAGTGTCGAGCCAGGTTTTGAACTGACCCCCTCTTCGACGCCTCCAATGGGGCAACGGCGCCGGATCGAGGGCAGTAACACTGAGCTCCTGAGGTGGACGACGAAGAACATGCCCGAACCACCTCAGTCGTCTTTCTTGGATGGCCTGAGCTATCCTCGCGATGTTGTCGCAGCGAGCGCGGACTATCTCATTTGAGACGAAGTCGGTTAACTTCGCTCGAAGGATGATCCTCAAGCAGTGGTGGTCAAATACCTCCAGTTTTCGCTCATCCGCCACGCGCAAAGCCCAGCATTCACAACCGTAAAGAAGGACAGACCGGACAGATGCACGGTACACGCGAATCTTAGTGGCGATGGAGAGGTCACGTCGGTTCCACAGGCATTTCCGAAGGCTTGAAAAAACCCAGCGGGCAGCATCGATTCGGGAGACAATGTCGTCCTTACTCTGTCCATTAGGCAGCAGCCGCGCCCCGAGGTATTTAAAACTGTCCACTTCTTCAAGTTGACAGCCATCAATCCCCAGGGGTGCCTTCTCCTGGTCAGGGATGCAGCTTGAGAATACTTTGGTCTTCCCAGCGTTTATGGACAAACCGACTGATTTAGCGACCTCGTTCACTCGTGACACCATAGACTGCAGATCACCAAAACTTGAAGCAAGTAAGGCGATATCATCGGCATAGTCGAGATCAGTCAGTCGATGTCCGGGTGCAAATTCAACACCGTCACTGTCGCGTAGGGCCCTCCCGAGGATCCAGTCAATAGCGTAGTTGAACAGTATGGGTGACAGGATACAACCCTGTCGGACGCCAGACCGAATACCGAACGGTTGGGAAAAATTGTTACGGACCAGGACTCTCGCAGGAGTGGAATGATAGTAGGCCTTGATCATGGCGATGATTTTGGCCGGTACACAATCTAGCGCCTCGGGTGTGCCACACTTCGGGGTTGGGTATGACTGGCTGACGACGGCTAATAAGCCAAAAATGGCCATTTCAGTCTCCCTTGCCTTTGTCGGTAATATCATTCTGCCTATGTGTGGTTCTGTTTAGGGTATTTGTCCACCAAAACCGTCAAGGTCACGTCTTGCCCCCTGTCTTCGTTGGTATTCCCTCGCCGTAATGAGAGCTGACCGAGTGGTGCTGACGGCCGAATAATCTGCAGCTGAGCTCGACGCCGAATGTCGACGTTTCCCAGAATGCCATAACGCGAAATGGCGCAACCATGGAGTCAGTTTTAACTGGTTTCGTACAGCGAGCAGCAAGAGCATACTCGCGGCTATAAAACAGGTGTCACATCCGAAATAAATGCGAGACTGGTTAAGTGCAAAAATATGGGATTGCGACGTAAGACTCTCTTCACTAACCATAAGCAAATATCCTATAGGGCGAGTTCTCCTTGGCTATCGAGGTCAGAAGGTGCTCCGAGCGGCAGGAGTCCTCGGCTTTGGCGAGTTCGAATTCTAAAGTGGAGAACAGTCGGAGTTTAAGGGAAATGGCATTGCCGCGGCCAAAAGGTTTCAGCTTGTCCCGTAGGGAGTGTGGACACACCACTAACTGGCCGATAAATTCTCGAAAAACAGAATCAAACAGGTGATGCGTAGAGCTTCAGGCATCAAAGTAGTAAAGGAGACTTTAAGAAAATACAGCAAAGAACTGATGACATACCGCTGTGAACAGCCTCTAGTTCACGGTCTACGCCGTCCTGTTTGAGCAGGGGCGCAATGAAGAAGTTGGCAAACCTGTCCAAGCTCGACTTGAAGTGCTGCCATTGGATGTCAAAGTAGAATACTGTGTGCTCGCCATCGGTGAAGGCATTGCTTGATCCACCACGTTGGCTGACGTATTCATCGAAGTCATTCTCCCCCGGGTATTTCTCACTGCCCATGAAAACCACTGCGGAAGAGGGGACAGAGTGAGTGAGGTGATGCACGGCGGCCAGGTGATATCCACTGCTGGTAAGGGGACACCTAGGTCAACTGGCACGGTACTAAAAAAGGCGCACGAAGGTTGCCGGACCACGACGAGGGCATCGTTGTTAGCATCACGGAAAGACAGAGTGTATGTCATGAGTGGCTCCCACCTATTTATTGGCAGTCGGCCGACAGGACTTTCTGACCGACTCGTTTGATGGTGATGATGACGTGGAACTGGTTACTGACAAAATGAGAGGAGGTTTACTAGAAAAACAGTCATCGCAGCAGATACAAGCCAGACTTATCCCCGCCTCGAGTGTATTATGAGGCGCTTGGCGAGAATGACACCACAGTGAACTAGTCTACCTGGTAACTGCAGCAGTTACGTCCCTATCCGTCTGTCATCCGCAAGGTGCAGTGATGAGGAACGGGAGGGTCATGGGGAGGACGACATGCCGACTGACGGGTTCTGTGCTCGACAACAAAAGCTCTACGATTAGCGACTTAGTTTTTATATCGCTTCACACGCGAGCGCTGGCAACACCATGAATGAAGGCATGCCCTGTGAGTCCGCACGCATTGTTGCAAAGTGACCATGAGTCAAGTCTTCGGCCTTCGTCAATTCCATGATATGCTTGAAGCCACCATCTCAAAACCATTTCTGCAGGTAACAGGAGAATTCTCCGAAAATATGCTACTATAGTCTTGCAATGACGCTATTCATGCCACCAGGTGCAATTTTGGTTAAGAAATGCTAAGCAACTATCCTTGATGCGAATTCTACCACAACCCGCACGTTGTCCTCTTCACCAGGTAGAACTGCTCTGGACTATCAAGGCTTAACGTTTTGGTAGATTTTTCTGAGTTCTTAACACAATTCTCATGCGATGAGCGTTTATCAGGTTTTTTGTTGGTGGACAGCGCGTCAAGCAAGTAGTGCACTAAGCTCAGCAAACTTCTCGAATGATAAGGCAATCCAACTGGTCAACAAGATATATGTCCTTTTAACGTATGCCAATGACGTTTTCATAGTTCGTCTGACAGCCTCGGTGGGGCTCGGATCCACGAAAGCAAGTTTAGGGCTTGTGTATAGCCAACGCCTTAACCATCTGATATACGATACTCAAACAGAGAGGCCTGAGGTTAAACACATCTGATCTAAGTCATAATTTGGCTGCAACCAATATGATGGCAATATTAAGTAAGTTAAAATGAGCCTAATATCTTAAGTCGCAAAATGAAAAAGGAAAAGAAAAGTTCCATAAACCCAACCCGCTGGACTTACTGTGCTCCAGAAAATGGGCGAGTCCCTGAGCCTCTCTCGGGTCAGCAAAACTACCGACGTTAATGCATAGGGCGGCGGCAGACTGAAACCACAAAATGTGAGTAAAATAATACCAGCAAAAAGAAAAAAGGGAACTTCAAGGAAATTCGACATACGAAAAAATAGTAAAATATAAGTCTAAAATTAAATGAGAAGGAATACGTAAAACTCCGAATGGGTGGAAAGGTTTCCACGGCCTAATGACCATCAGAAACGTCGTAAATGCCTGTGTATTTCCATTGGACAAACACACCTTACGGCAGCAGAAACATAACAGGACACTCGGCAGCATTACAATGAAGGAAGTGCACGGTGCGCTCCGTGGTGAATAGCTACATTGTCTGACAACAACGGCAATAAGGGTCAAGCTGAGTGTATTGCCATTGCAATCTGACCCAACCTGGAATGTCTTTCTCGTTGCTCGACACAGCCACCAAACCCATGAGGCAACTTCGAGTAGCGAATAACCCAGACGGCGAATTCGTGGGTGAACTGGGGATCGACTACGAAAGTTTTGTCAAGCACATGCCAGGTCAGTCACTGCGCTATGAACTATTGTCATTTGATTGGGCCCAATGTAGTCATCAGGGAATGACGCCCGCAGGAGGATGCATCGGGATCAATACTGTGAACAGACCCATGACTACCCCTAAGCCCGCAAAAATAACATCTGCTCATTGAGGTGATCGTAGTCATTGTTGTTGTCGATTGATGCAATAGCAATATGAGTGTGAGACTTTGAAAATGAAAATCAACGAGTGAGTACCTGTTTTGACAAATTATCTATGTATGCGACAGGACAGAAGCAACCTCTTTGAATATTGAAGTGGGGAAAAGTGGGTCGATTGTCAGCAGTCTAACTAAGAGGCCAACACTGCCAAACTAACGGGTATAAGAAGGCGATCTTGTACCTGAAGCAGGTGTAATACGGAATCATAAACATAAAATGGCATAGGAAAAAATTCGTCTTGCGCAAACGAAAAACCTCAAAGAATATTTATTTTCGTCCGCTGTATATGCTGCTCAATAATTCGAATCTACCTGGTCAGTATAAAAAATATGAATGTATGATTAGGCCGTTTAAAAAATAGGGTTGTGGCGTTCTTTTCTCGATTTTACGTAGGCAAACATCACAGAGCCCGCATTAGACAGACAAACGTATGAGGCAAATGCCGCAACGCACCCTCCTCAATTTTTTCGATGAGCATTCGTCTTCCACTTCCATATCGCCCTCATCATCTACACCCTCGCTCTCTTCTGCAGTCTCCTCGCAATCCGAATCTTCGACAGATTCGTAGGCTTCATCTTCCACAGCTTCTCCGGGTTTGAGACTTGAAATTAGCATGCATCGCAATCCATTCGCGAGTTCAACATATCTTCATGACGGTTAAATCTTAAAAACTACTCACTTATATTTCCTGTAGTCTACAGTAGACTTTATTACTTCGCGTGCAATTGTCATTTCAGTTGTGAGTAGTTGGGTTACACTAAACGTTTTTAAATTACCGCGAAAGGCGTAAGGTGTAACTGAGAGTCAAATGATGATGAGGCGTTCACCGGGAGAGGTGTATTGGAGGTCTGACGTTTCGAGTAGTTGCTTCGACTACACATCTTCAGAGACTGGGAAGTCATGTGCACAGCTCTCCTTATATGGCGCACTTTCTTTGATGCATGGCCCCCCAAAGGTCACGGTGACAAGCGGATTGGGTGCAGCAGCACAGGCCCCACTGACGGGCCAAGCATCAAACAAAATGCCCCATATAAGGAGAGCTGTGCGCACGACTTCCCAGTCTCTGGAGATCGGTAGATGAAATAACTGCTCGAAACGTCAGACTTCCAATACACCTCTCCCGGAGAAAGCCTCATTTTCTCTTGATTTACCAGCTTTGGATCGCATTTTCATTACTATCAATGAAATTTAGAGTACTCGGATGTCTCAACTCTTCAATTTATTGAACGAAAAATACATATGGAAATGTGACCATTTAAAGATGCTCATTACAATTAAAGAAGCACACCCTGCCATCTCGGTGGAGCTTAACGAAATGTAACTATAATGACTTTTACAGAAGGCTGCTTGTCCAAGGCAACTTGCCATAGGGACCAAATTTTTTTCTTCTTTTATGTGTAAATTGGCGAGGAAGGAACAGCTTGGAACTTAAACGTATGCGATTTTTTGAATTTTCCACCACTGGCAACTTCCGAGGTCACTCCTTGCAAGTGCGCGTTTGGCGGGCAAGACCATCAGGACGGTCAGGGAACCTGGAATTAAACTTGGACTAGACCTCTAAGCTAATAAAGACAAAAGTTCATCTAAAATAACTAACTATACGCAATTTTACGCCAAATTATCGTTTTACACGTTCGGCGTTCAGCTACTAAAAATTTGTGTTTTTCTTCTTCCCAACATGCTATTTCAAGTCTTTCGATATTTTGACATCGGAGGGCTGGAAGCAACCGCTGGGCGTTCAAACTCGCTTTGCTGTATTTTTATCTATGCAAGAAGGCGTCGGTGCTTCATATATGGAGCTGCATAGCGCTAAAGTCCTAGATATTTCTGGTTACCCACGCTTCAGTTTTGAGGTTTGCAACCGACAGGACAAGTAGCCAGTGACTCAATGGCTAGAATTAGAGCGCTGGACTTATTAATGATTGATGTCCAAAAGAACTCGCTTTGGACTGTCAGATGTCCCCGAACGTTGGGCTAGTTGAGATTTGTCTAACGACGGCCAATGAATTAACATTGGCCGCTTCCTTGGTCCTCTTAATTGTCGATAATCTCTGCCTAACTTGCTATTTGTCATGTGGCTGTCCGCGGGACTCTAGATCAAGCCACAAAGCACAATTGGCTTAGCAGGTTTCTTTAAATTTCTGATTTGTTAGCCTTTGTTAGCTTACCGTACTGCGACCCACCTCTGCAGTAGACGAGCTTAGGACACGCGTTCTTTGTCTATCGTACATTATTAAGTCCAGCACCCTACCCCTAACCCAGAAACAAGTCGTGTCTATCAGCGAGCGCTCTTTCGCCGCAATGTTTATATGCATAGGTTTTGAAAAATAGGCATTCCAAGTAATTAAAGTTGAAATAAGATATGTTTTATGAAACAAGAAGCTATATTGCATAAATTTTGACAGTGTTTCACTAGGTAGCCATCATAAGCAGACGGAAAGCAGACAGACATTTTGATTTCCGTCTGCGTCTGACGACGACTTAGGAGCTGATTTTGAAAATTCACGCAATTAGGCTTCTTTTTCAATTAAATCTTTCTTATTTCTATATCTATATATACATATAGATATTTCGAGGAAACATGAGTCCTTTGGGAAAATAAACAAACTCTTTTCAAAGATTTTCGAGTCTGGTTCTCCTGCTCGTCGTCAGATGCGTAGTAAGGGTAAAGAAACAGAGCTGAGGGGAAGTCAGCTGGCGAACATTAGGTTTTTGTGGGTTAGAAGCCTTGAAGATGGCCTTTGCTTCCTTTCTCACATCAACTCTAGCTCCAATCTTCCGCCGACTGACGCTCTCAATCCGAGAGATCGGTATTATCACGCGCCGCCTCTTTCCACTACATCTAAGCGCTCCGTCTTTTTTGCTTTCAAATATGCCTTTCTTTGGAATAATCTTCCGTCATCGCCAAGGTTATCCGTAAGCAAATCGAAACTATGCAAACACATTACACCGGAAAGTATAAAGGAACTTTCAACGGCCCATACCCCTTTTTTAATTGGTTCCAAAATCCACTGATACCACTTACCGCCCACAGCGACGATTTTCGCGGTTCTTGACGTCATCTCCCTCACTTCGGCCTCAAGCCCTCTGTCGACGCCCACGACTGAACCATCTGTATTCGCCGTCTACCAATAGTTTCGTCATACCTCAAGGCTGACTTTTATTTCTGCTTCGAAGATTTGCTTTTTTAACTCGTCATAGACTGCCCAAATGACCCTCTGCGAGAAGGCGTTCTGTCGGACGTGTGTATGGGCCGGCTTACTCTGTATTTTAAAGGGATGCGCACACAGACTGTGCGTCCCAGCCCGTTCAATGAAGTAATTAAAGTTTAGGGCGCGCTCATGGCCTCTGACAGTACGATATAATTTAATATAATTCAGTATATATGAGGAATAGAGGTAGAGACTTGGAAAACCCTATTCAGAGATGGACGTATTAATAGCATGCATATATCTACATAACTATAAATAAATAAATTTTAATTTAATGCCAGTTTACAGGCATTGTCAAGGGAAGTGATTAAACACAAATCCGACCAGCAGTGAAAAAAAACTCCTGAGCTTAAGGCATAAAAATATAGTTGATGGTGGTTTTTGTGGTTTGGAGGACTCAGGAGAAAAAAACTGTCGGCGGTGGTAGAATATCGACCGTCAAGAAGGGGGGAGGTTGCACGGTATCGGAGATTATCGGACATTAAATTCCTTTCATGAAGTTGGGGATAGTCAAAGTAGAGGCGTTGAGGAACAGCTGGTGAGACCGGCCATAGTGTTCAGAGACCACAAACGCCATCGCTTCGGTACAGTCGATCAGAGTTTTCAGCACCCAAAATTTGTGGGAGCTTTTCTGAATGCAAAAATCGAGTAATAGTTCTCTTAAATAAAGGATAATTTTGCAGAGTTTTCACACTCATGGGTAGTTTATTCCAAATAGCAATTGCATTTACAGAAAAAAACCGACGATATTTAACAGTACGTGCCAGAGGCAGAAATAAGAAGACCTCACGGTGACTGTTACGTTGTGGGTGGATATGATGTCTTAAAGAGGTGAGTGGGTTAAATGTGTGATTATATAAGAGTTTAAATAGCAAAAATAGTCCCTTTTGTAATCTACGAAACCATAAAGGATCGAGGCCTGTAAGCCGGCAACGTTCTTGGTAAGACAAATGTCGGTGTTCCGGGGTTAAAATTCTCTTGGTAAAAAAGTGTTGAACGGATTCTATTTTCTTCCGCTCAGTAGCACTCATGAGACTAAGTAAAAACGAACAGTATTCCAGACCAGGTCTAACGTACATGTTGAAAAGGCGCATTCTAATGTCCCTAGTTTTAAAATTTCGGAGGATAAACCCGGTCGTTCTACGTGCTTTGGAGACTATCAAGGCACAGTGCTCCGAGAGATTGAGACTCTTGGAGTATGATACGCCCAAATCCTTTATAACCCCTGGCACATTTATTGCGTGACCTTCAATACTTAGTTGAGGTTGGCGGTCGTCGCCAACCACCATGACTGAGCACTTATGCCAAGAAAGAGAAAGGCGCCATGTGCGGCACCACTGAGCGAAAGCCTGTAGATCGCTCTTTAGGGGCTCAAGCACGATGTCATGATCTGCCGGCTTATATCGATATGCAACTTTAAGATCATCGGCATACATGAAAGGCTTGCCATTCTGAAATAAATCGGGCACATCATTAACGAAAAGGCAAAATAAAAGCGGGCCGAGTACACTACCCTGAATGACTCCACTCCTCACACGTGTGGGGTTGGAGATGGTATTGGAAATCTTAACTCGTTGTGTGCGAGTGCCCAAATAAGAGGATAGAAAATTCAAAAGTTTGTCACCTATTCCGAAAGAGGACAGTTTCAAGAGTTATGTCAATCATTGATATCGAGCGAATTTTTGACCATCAAGCATAACATCATCTAGTATTCTCTTGAAGGATTCGACGTTTTCCGCCAAGACAAGGGAGTTCGGCCATTTGTTCCAACGTTCAACCAGCCGGTGAGAGAAGAATTTGGCCTTCTCGTCAAGTTTGGTATATTTTATTTTCACTTTCTTTTGGTGGCCCTGAAGATTTGTCGTCCGCTCCAGTTCGAGGAAATCGTCAAACTGAAGAGCACAGTCTAGCCTTCGGACGATCCTGAAGGCCACGAACATATGCCCTCCGGACCATCTTTCTACAGGATTCTCACGACATTGGATTTGTGGTTATCCTTAGACCCCGACCGCTGTGTCTTTCTACGTTTCTAATGTCGTCCCGTTATTATAATAATGGTGTCCGGGAGAGGCATTTCGGTCGGTTTTGGGTGCAAAACTACGCATTTGGACACGATAAACTTCAAAAGCCATCTGTTTGACCAAGTACTCAGTTTGTGAATATTCGACTGCACGTTCTTTGCGTCATCATCGCACTTGACTGCACTCCATATTTTTATGTCATCAGTGAACATGAGGGCCTCGCAATCCAGTTCGTTTGTGCAGTCAGTAACAAAAATCAGGAAGAGTTTTGGGCCTAAAACAGAACCCTGTGGGACAAAACTTTCCACCTTTGCCCATTCCGACGTGGATTTAACAAACAACGACTCTTCGCAATCTGGAGGACAGAAAACACCTGATCAACTTAAATATCCTTCCTTGAATTCCTACATTCCAGATCTTCTGTAAAGGAAACCTGTGTGGGACACTGTCAAAGGCCTTCTTGTAGTCAAAATTATGACATCCTGTGGACATTCCTTAT